CTCCCCTTTCTACGGAAACGGCGCCGGTCGGTTCGGCGACGGGCCGCTCGCGTGACTGCTCACATGACTCATGCGGAAACTTTCCTTTCTGGGGTTCCGTCGACCCGCCGACAAGGTCACTTGAGAGTTCACCGCATTGAATCAGATCAAGCTGCCGCGATAGCTTCCGCGCTTGCGATCGCGTGAGAGCCATGCACGCTAAGTTGGGGAAGAACGATTTGCCCTGCTCTTTGAGAAGCTGCTCTGAGTTGTTGGAGAAAAGATAAGGAAAACGATCATTTAGCGCGGCAGACACAGCCGCTTCGGTGCGAAGCTCACCGAACGGGCCTTTAATGACAACCGTGGCGATTGGTAAGCGAACACTCTGCTCCTCGGCGACCTGCCTGATCCACGCGCATTCTCCTGTGAAGTCATCCGGAGACACCAATGAAGGATGGACAACGTCCATGGTTGCCGCTGAGTCTCTAAGTGCTCGGCACGTTTTCTCATTCACCCTAATTTCTTGGAGATACGGCTCCAACAACCGAATGTTTTTTTCTGATTCTCGGATCGTTGCGAAAGCAAACTTTTCCTGACAGTTTCTCGCGATGTGCCCTTCCTTTTTGCAGTTGTAGCAGATTAGCGGCTTCCGTTTGTTTTCCGATTCAATTTCCTGTGTGGTAGAAACCTCACTCGATTTCTCCGCTTCTGTTTGCCCTTCCCCTACACTATCCTTCGTAAGAGACGGGTCCTTTTTGAAATTACGGTGCGGAACGGGTTTCCGTTGATCAGGTTTCCTTGAAAAGCCCTCTTTTCTTTCATCCTTTTCAACGCGCACTGCCCTGCTATGCAACTTTCGGCGAGTATAATACTCCTCAGCTAACTCAGCTGCCTTGTTTAACCGTACTTCCCCAAGTCTGTCCTGCAGCCAAAGTTTGACATCCTCCTCGATGCAGCGGTAGAATTGCTCCAATGCAACGCATTCCACCACTTTATCGCGGTCGTCATAAACACCTTCGCCCTTGAGCCATTCAATCAAATCGGCTTTAAGACGAAACGCGAAGTCAACGTGTGACTCATTCCCCTTTTTAGCATACCAGAACCTTTGCCTGAAAGCCTCGGGTGACAACTTATAACGTCTCAAGAGCACTTCCTTAACCTCGTCATAGCTCTCAAACGCTTCCCTCGACAAGCAAGTTATCGCGTCGGACACTTCGCCGGGAAGAAGAGCTAGCAGGTTCCGCGCCCAAAGAGACCGCTCCAAAGCGTTTCGCTCACAGACGTGTTCAAACTTGACGAGATACTTCGCCATGTCCTCGCCTACTACGAACGGTGGCAGTTGGTCCCGAATTCTAAAACCGCTGACCTGAATCGTCGGGGAAGCTACGCTAGGCGCCTGCGAACACTGTAGGATTGCCAATTCTAGTCGTTTCATCTCAAGGCGCTCCTGTCTCTCGGCCTCCTCGCGCTCGCGACGTTCTACTTCTCGCCTTTCAGCCTCCTCACGGCGTGCTTTAATATCCACCCAGGCCTCATCGACTTCCTCAGCCGACACTCCCTCATCCTTCATGATCTCAAGGATCGCTTGCTTTCGTTTCGCGCGGCCCAAAGTAATGCCGAGTTCCTCACAAATTTCGATGAGTTCCTTCACTTTAAGGTTCTCCATCGTTCACACTAGCCTCTTGCTGTTTGCCCCTGTTAACAATTTACTTGCCGTACCCACTATAAGTCAACTAGCAAGACGCGCAAGCAATTTTTCACTCTCCCGTGTTTACCCCCTCCGCATTAACTTTGGTTTCAAAGCACTTCGACTTTGCTTGAAACGATCAAAGCTCACTCTAATGCTTCACACAGCCCTTCTCTAAACTACTACAACCTGAGCTAGAGTAGTCTGGTGAACTGAGGGGAAAACATCAGGCACTCACCGCATCGATGTCGCTGACGCCGGCCGATCCCACCGCTGCCACCACTGTTGCGAAGCCACCTCCGCAATCCCACCGCTGACCTCCACTGTTGCGAACGACGGACCGATCCCACCACTGCCACCACTGTTGCGAAAGACGGACTGATCCCGCCGAAGCCACCACTGTTGCGAAAGACGGCGACGCCAACACGCTCCCGAAGGCGCCACTGCTTCCAACTCCGCCGGGAAGGTCACCAGCCGTTTGGTAGCGTATGTTTCTCAGCTCGCGACTGCTTCTGCGCAGAGCTGATAAGACGAGCGGACGAGACGACGGTGAGTTAAACAAGGTTTATGTACAGCATATATACAGAGGCGTTACAATTTCGGCACTGGGGCCGACAGAGACTCGAAGAGCCGAGCTCTCCTCTCTAATACATAGGTCAACTTTTCGCCTAAGACCGCCGACTCACACACATGTCGGCTCTCCGACATGGGGACTCCTCTCTCGTAGGACCGCCGATCGCGACGCGCCGCAGGGCTTCTTTTATTTACACCGGGTCCAACCAAAAGGTCCAATCAGAAGCGTCGCTGGTCGTCAGGGCAGACTCCTCCAATGGGGTTGCCGCGCCATGCGTCAGACCACCAGACACGAGGACGCCGGCTCGCTGTCACGTGCGCAGCTGACTCAATGCACGTGGGCCAGAGATGCGCCGCGCGTGTTCACGCCGTCGAGTTGATCGCGCCAGGCGGACTGCGGGCTGGCCTTGACCCAGATTGCCTTTTTCAGAGGCACGGACGTTTGACGAGGACTCGCTGGCATAACAATACATTCTAGGCAAAGAACTTCTAGCCGCAGATGCACTTTCAAGAGCGCCTCTGCGAGAGGCGGGAGACAACGAGCTCGAATAAAGCGTTGAAGCTTTTCTGTGCTCTATGACAACCTCTATTCCGATAAAGCAACATTGCTTTCAATGGTTAAAGGCACCCAAACAAGCAGACCCTATTTGCACACAACTTCTTCTGCTGTGCGAGAAAGATAGGCCCTCCAGGGGAGACTTGAAACCTAACCTAAACCCTTCTACGACCACCAACACAAGCTCACTGTAGAGAATGATTTACTCCTCTATGCGTCGCGAGTTGTCATCCTCGGTTCATGCCGAAAAGAAATCCTACGACTCTTGCACGAGAGACACTCTGGCATAACAAAGACATTTGCTTGAGCACGAGACTATGTCTGGTTGCCTACCATAGGATCTGACGTGTCGTACCTGGTGAAGCGATCTCAGCAATGCATTGAAACAAGAGTCAACAGGACAATGCCACTAATAAGCTCTGAATACCCTGAGAAGCCTTGGACAATGCATTGTGATGGATTTGTTTCACTTCAAGAACCTAATGATGGTTGATAGCTACAGACTATTATTCAAGATACCCCGAACTAGTTCGTACTTGAGAAGCTCACTTCCGCAGCCGTAGTCAACCACTGCAAGTTAATTTTTGCACGCACAGGAATTCCCGAGGAAGTAGTTTCCGACAATGGCCCGCAGTTTTTCATTGACTGAGTTTTCACTCTTCGCCCAAGACTATGGTTTCAAGCACATTACATCTAGCCCTCGCTATCCTCAGAGTAATGGACTTGCAGAGGCTGCAGTGGAAATCATCAAGACATCCATGACTAAAACTAAGGGCCCTTACCTGACACTTCAAGCTTACAGGTCGACTCTTTTGAAGAAGGGATATAGCCCTGCCGAACTGCTCTTTGGTCGTTGGCTGAGATCCAGGCTTCTCTTTGTTCCACCAAGCTGACACCCCAATTGCTAGATCAAGGCAGCCTTCAAAATTTTGAGGAAAGATACAGAAAACGTCAAAGGACAGATTTCGACAGACGTCGCGGAGTCCGCAACTTGCCAGAACTTCTTTATGGAGATGCCGTGTGGTGACATACCTCAAAAGCAAAGGAACAGTACAAGCCCCAGCCGATGAGCCTCGATCTTATTGGGTAAATACCGACACTGGTGCTGTACGTAAAAAACGGAGGCAGCTACTAGTTCCATATTCCCGATGTCACAACAACACAGATAGCGCCAGTACCAGTGACCTGTGCTATAGACACTCGCTCGCGTTGCTAGGACACTTCCCACGGGCATACCAGAGGTGGAAGGTGCGTGAAGCCTCCTGCTGTAGCGAACTTCGCTTGATTGCACTGGGAGAGGTTGTAGATGACGCCATCTAGAAAAAGCTAAGCAAAGCTGGTGACAGCATGTGCTCGAGATGCGCCTGGCGCATGGCAGGTCTCCTTGGCTAGAACGCCGCTTGGAATAAACCTGTGTCCACATAACTCAGCCTCCTGCCTTCTCGCTCGTCCCTGATTACATCAATAGTCTGCATTAAAAAAAAATTCAGGAGAACAAAAGCAAAGCTGAATGTCACTGGGGGCCACTCCATGCACAAGCAGTGACACTATGCACCCATGCATCAAAAACGGAGGGTGAATGATAGATATGCCACGGAAAGCTATCCAGTAAAACACTCTCCATATGCAACGTGGCCCCATGTATGTGATGCTAACTAAAAGCTCAACAACGCAAAGTAGTATTACCTCTGTGTCTCCAAAGTGCAGTTCAGAGACTTGTGCACCAATCGAAAAGTTGATGCAAGAGAATTTTTTTTTGTTTTTGGTTTGGAGGGGGGGGGACACTTCGCGAATTCACTCGCAGAGGCCAGAACGGCGGCAACCCCGGCTCAAGGGATGCTGGCCCGCCTACCTCCTCGTGCACACCCCTATGTAATCGAGTGCTTGCTCTTGCGTGGGAGCCACCGGGGCCACGAACGAGCCGTGCGCGCTGCCACTGCTTCACATTTTGTCGGCTGTGGTGCGATTGCGGACAATGCATGCTCATGCCAAAATGATGAAATCCGGGGCAAATTTTCTGGATTGTCTGTGGTAAAAATTCTTTATATCAAGGATGTCTCCCTTCATTGCCTTGTTACATAGAAGTCACAAATACACATGAAGTAATGGCAGGGAACAGAAAAACTTCGAAACATAGAGGCTTTAGTTGTATGAGGGTTCGTAACAGGCAGGTTTAACTCTATTTGTCATATTGGCTTTCTACAGTTCTACATCAGGAACAACTCCCAAAAGCGGAGCCACATGGAACTCGCCCTGCAGACCTATCTGGAGATTCGCAGAAGCCAAGAAGAAGCGGAGAAGAACCTGGCCTCTGCAAGGGGGCACTCATGATTAGCCATGCAGAATAAACATAATTACGGTAGTACTAGTAAACTCTTTCGTGCCAGGCTCTTTCTCTGGATTTTATGTTTGAACAGTCTGATGATTGTTTTACACTTCACCATCCCACTGTCATCTATACTGCTGGAGTGTTATAGTATACATAGGCAAGCAGACATCTAGGTATGTGCCATGTGGTGCTTCACTCAAATTTTAAATGCTTATAGCATATCTTTAGCTGCTTACCAGCTCCTATATGGACCGACTAACTGACCGATTGAAGGGAGAATCGACCACGAGCGATATCACACACCAGCGAAAACAAACATGAGCGACATGCACGGATGGACGGACAAAGGGGTAGACAGACGGACGGCACAGGTGGTTTTTTTCACAGCAGGTGTTGTGATTGTGGACGCCGGTACATCACCGGACAAGGCTAGCCCCTAAGAAGTTTCACCCCTAAAGGTGTGAAGCAGCCTGCACCCCTAAAGGTGTGCAGGCTGCTTGAAGGCATGTGGTGCAATAATTATTTAACACATGGCATTTACCGAGTCCATGTGTCTTGTGTGTATGAGACGCTCATGAAGACGCGGTTTGGTTTGTGCATTTTTTTTTTTAGCTCAGTTGCTTGCACCTGTGATGATTTTGCTGCATCAGCAAACAATATTTTCGTGTTGGCAAATAGAAGAAACTGTTTAAAAAGTGCAGTATAATTGGATATTGACATGCTTTGACTACTAACAGAAATGACACTGGGAGCACCCGTGCCAGCACTTCAGTTAGTTATACTGTATTGTCCTCATGCTGTGTCGCTGCGAGGATAAAATGTTGCCTGCAATGACAATGGCTATGCTTAGATTGATATGGAGCTTGTACGAACCAGGAATGTGAGTAACTGTGTCTGCACAGGATGCTATGCCAACATCGCATGGCCCGAGCAAATATCTCAAGGCCATTCGGCATATGACCGAGGTGCAATATTTTTATGTCGCTGAGTCAGATTGATCACTATCAGCTCTTATTTGGCCATTTGAGAGACATAAGATGTGACAGAACAGACCAAAGAAGCAAAAAAAAAAAAACAAGAAGCGAAAAGGCAATTTGTATGATGACTATATGGCAGGTTGCTGTTTATCAAATTTTTCAGTATGTCTTGTTTTTTGAACAAGACATGAAATAAACTTGTTTCACTTCTTTAGCTCTCAGTATCTTGACACCGGTTTTTTATTACATTTGCCCCATTATGTAAACAATTTGATAAAACAGAGGGCCGATTTTTCACCAGAATAAAGGTGACATCAATACTAAGCTATCAACTAGAATGGTTTATACATGTGGAATAATCATCATTTTATTTTGGCAGTCTTGTTTAAAAAGTTACAAAGATTACTTGGTTTAAAAAAAAATTGCAAAAAATCCACACCTGAAATACATTCGTAATTGTAGCTTCATTACAAAAATAGCTACTGGCAAATAAACTGAAGTCTCAAAGGAGCCTTAAGGTGGCATGGGTGCTTTCCTCAACAGGCAAAAAAGAGAACAGCTTTATACCCCTGTCACACGGCCACCACTAAACTCCGTTGAACACCGTCAACGTATATCTCCCCTAGGTGGTTTGACGGAGAAGGAGTTGTGGCAGTGCCACACGGCAATGAAAAGGTTGTAACAGTTGGTGCGAGGGGGCTCAGCTGGCGCTGTTTGATTCTCGGAAAAGTATTCTAATTTCATCTCTATTGATTTTTTGTGAATCCTCGTTCTGGGGTTTTTACAAAAAAACACTATTAAGGAGGTAAGAGGCTAACAAACCATAAAAATATTTTTAAATAAAAACGAATTCGCTAAATGTAGCGATGCTGCTAGTGACGCTGGCCACATTGTGCTTTTAGTTGTTTTGTTGCCTGTGTTTATGTTTGTGTACAAAAGTTCTTGTGCTTCCTTGCCTCGTGAGCGCACATTTTGTGTTCTTCAGCCATGAGTGACACAGCGACGACCACAACCACACGCATGGACGAAATATTTTTCAGTGGCGCTGGCCGGCCCGACTCGTGAGTCGCGAGGCACCACGTGCGAGGCACGGAGTGTAGAGCATCGGTGTTGAGAGTGAGTGAACTCTGGCGGGTGTAAATATATGTAAACAAACACGCGTTGTGAAGGAGTACTACGACGAAAGAACGTTTAAGGTTGCCAAAATGTATTATTCTTTTACTGCGGTCACTTAGTGCTCGAAATTTTTCTCTGACCTCTAGACTGCTGGGGACGAGAGTACCTCGTTTTGCTGCGAAGGGAGATCGTTGAACGTCCTTTGCGAAACGCTCCGTTTACTTTCGTTTGGGTAAGGGTGGCCGTGTGACACGGACCAGCTTTACTAATGTCCCATTGGCAAGCCCACACATCCAGATGCATTTTCTTGAACGTTGATCAGAATTTCAGGCATGCTCACACATTGAGACGGTGGGCGTGTTTTCTCGGAGCTGAAGGAGTACTGTTCAGGTGCCAGTCAGTCACCATTTTATCGAACATTGGTGCCAGTAAATATTCTTCATTGATGACAGTTTCGTGCATTGGGTGTAACAATTGTCGTTAACTTTCTACAGCAAATTTTTTTGGGGAACAATGCATGCATGTGATATTGCTGACAAGGTGGCCATTAACAAAGTTTCCATTGCTGCTATTAGTGTTATCTCCAGATCCCTGACTCGTGTTTTGAGGGTGTGCCTGTTAATCTGTCAACTCAGGAATTGGTAAGAAAAAAAAAACAATGGATGTGAGCATGGGGTGGGTATAGCAAGCAACTTTTCTCCTTTGAGCGTGAGCACCAGCAAGCTTAGAACCACAGAGACTGATAAGCAGCACATTTTCGATGCGAAGCAGCTCCTTGGCTAACCTGTGAAACGCTGTCCCTCTGTACACCTCAACTGTGCATGCTCGCGTCTCATGTCGGCCCAGGAAGACCCCCGCAAAACTGTCGCTCTCCTCCCTCTTTCTCGCCTCGCAAGGCCGACGCAGGGAGCGTCTGCTAGGAACGAACTGACTGCTCGCGCTGCACAACCATTCACTCGCCATTCTGTATACGTAGACACTGGATCGCTGGTTTGGAATTCAGTCAAGGGCATTTTTACTTGGCTTTAGCTTGATGAGCGTCAACGTCGCCGCCAGTGTAAGTGTTACCGCCTATGTGCAGATGCTTCGAGTCTACACATGGTTCCCTTTAGCGGGAGATGGTTCAACTTTTTAGGTTAGATCATAGTGGGTTTGTTTACCCTTGTTGCTGAGAGAGAAACTTCACCTCTCCATTAAAATAATTCTCTCTCTCTCTTGTTGCTGATTGTGTACATTTTACGAATGGACAAAGTTGTATAGTATATCATATCTGACATATCCTCTGCAACCTACAGAAAACATCGTCAGTCACCATGGTGCGATTTTTTATGTGCATCTTCTGTGGGCATACTTTAAAAATAGCACTGGTTCAGGTTTGATTGGTAGATTAACAGCTAACGTAGGTAAGATATGCCTTTACTGCAACAGCAGTCACGCACACCTTGCAAGTTGTCTGGGAGGGCTTGTTGATTCTGCCAATGTCACCACGATGCAGAAATGTTATGCACCTTAAAGGGGACCTGCAACACCACTGCAGTGGCTACATGGTTAGAGCCTCCACTTCTGTGCGAGATGCCTGGTTCGATTCCTAGTGCCGACCAGGAACCCACCAGTTTTTCCTTATTTGGCAGATGAGTACGCCGACCTGGCACTCGGTTGTTTCTGGGTACTCATCTCGAAAGGTAGCCCCATAAGGTTCTGCAAAGGGGCCTGAGCGTATCTTAACCTATCGCAGCCTTGGTGAAATAGTTGAGCATTCGCCGCTGCTGTGGGAGGCAGAGAATTCCTCCCGCCAGGTACCTACCGGTTAAATAGCTACAAGTGCACTTTCGGCTTGGTGCACGGCAGAACGAAGTTGTAGTCGCTTGGGAGGGCACCCACCCTGTTGAAAATTAGCGGCATGGGACCGCCAGACCTAAAATTAAAGTCATCTTTATTTTAATTTTTTTTTGAATGAATTCACCTAATAAGCTTATTGCCTCACGAATGCACCGCTGCAAAGATTTTTAGAATCTGTCCAGTACGAGCAGAGTTTGTTCCATGTTGCAATTGTATTCTCTCTTCTCTCATCCCAGTTATAGAGCTGGAAGCTAAGCAGGGAGGAATGACATGTGAAAAGATTATACGTCACGCTTGCCTCGTGACCTTGAGCACTTTTTCTCTAGTTGTTTTCTTCGAATATGCAGCTTTTCAGAGTGACCGCGTGCGCACGCGTGAACAGCTCGTGGCCTCCCGCGGCAGCCCGAAAACGACCAAGCATGCCATGTTCAAATCAGCCAATGGCTCATGCAATGGCTCTGGCGAGCGATTTTTGAGCATCTATTGTCATTTGTCAAGATAAGAGAAAGCAATTCTTAACTGACTTGGTGAAATAATTGTGAATTCCAGGCTGCATGCTGCACTGTAACATTTGGCTCGTGTTTTCTCGGGAGCCTCGACTACCGATCGGAAGTGTTTTCTGACCGTGCTCAAAAAGTATCAGGGCCCCTTCAAGCGACACAGTATCGGTCTGCATTAGCATACCAACAGTTCACTGCGACGTACAGTTGATATTTTTACACCTGGCTAACTAACTAATATTCCTGTCCTTCTATTTTCTGTTTCTCTTCAGATGCAGAATGTTTAGAGATATACTGCCAATAAACCAAGATTACTTTTTTTTCTTAGTTCTTGCGTATGACGACTAGAAAAGCATTGGTGGTTTTAAATGTAGGTTTTAATCGATGTAGTAAGCATCCTTCAGAGAGGAAATTCAGCTGAACGAAAGAACAACTTGCTGCTAGTGGGTACCAAACTAAAAAAACCTTTGAACTATGCGTGTTGTGACGTCCCCGCAAACACGGACTGAGCCCCGCTCCTTCGAGATGTGTGCGCTTGTTTCTCAAACCCACGCATAAAGGGCATTCCGGAGTTAAGTACCAGAAGGATTATTTCTGCTGTTCTCACGGGCTCCCCCACGCAAAATCGTG